CCCCCCCCCCACACAGCTGGGCTGTACGGGGCTGGCCTCGTCCCCGAGGCCCCTGCTCCATCGCCGGCCAGGCCCTCGGCAGCCCACCTGTCCGGGAAGGGACTCAGTTTAGCAAACACAGACGGACGGACAGCACCTGGCCGTGACCCGCGTCGGCCATTAGCATTCCCTTCCGGGTCACAGACAGCATGTCGTGAGCCTTCCACAGAAAAGGGGTGAGCCAGTGGCGGCAAGACCGGCGGGGTCTCTCCCAACACGGGCCCCGCGGGCCTCACAAGGAAGCGGATGTCAGGTGCAGGTGACAGGAGGCGGCATTCTGCTAACCTGCTCCTGCAGGGCAAACGCTCCGGGGCTCAGCGGAGGGACGGGGCACCCTGTAGGCCTGTGGGTTTTTCTGGGCCAGAAATACCTCAGTGGGAACAGCTGATCTGTCTTGCCGGGGCCTTGGCCGGGGAGACAGCGGTCAGAACCCTTGGAGTGCGCTCACCCTCTGTGGTCACCTGGGGAACCCGGGAGCAGGACTCAGCTGGGCTTGGTACTCAACGGCTCTTGCCGGTGGGCCCGGGGCTTTCTTGTCACACAGCAGCAGGGCAGGATCCCATCGAGTGTCCTGTGAGCGGCACTGTGACACCCAGTCCCCCTCTGCCACTCTTGATTAGCAGGATTCCAGGGAGGCTCACCACCCGGCCAGTGGGAGTGGCGGGAGCTCCCCCACCCCGCCGGAGGCTGGCAAGGCCAGACCACGTGCCAGCCCCTCGGTGGTAAGGCAGATCCACGGGCCACGGTTGTGGTCACTGCTCTCCTCACGACTGGCCACCAAGCACAAGCTACAGGCCAGAGGGAAGCTCTCCCTCCTGCGGGAAGGGCTCAGGGCCCTCAAAGCGAGACTGCAGAGGGCCCAGGACAAGCGGCTGTGGCAGTAAGAGCTCAGCGGAGGACAAGCCGAGGGTCAGCGTGGGCTCCCAGGCCCCAGAGGCAGGGCCAAGGGGCTCGCGGCCCAACCACTGCCGGGCACCCTGCCCAGGCAAGGGAAGCAAGAACAGGGTGGTGGGCACGCCCCAGGAGGCGCTCGGGCACGGGCTGCAGAGGCCCGGAGAAGTGACCGGACTGAGGGGGGGGGCCGTTCCCCGGGGGTCCCGTCCCCACCGCCCACGTCCCAGCCTGGGCACGAGCGGCCTCAAGTGCGGCTGGGCCTGTGCTGGGCTCTGGCCTGGCCACGGGGGAGGCCTTTGGCCACGGGGAGCCCCCGCTCCGGTGGGAGGACAGGAGAACCCAGGGACGGCAGAAGAACACACAAGACCAAAGGGCAGGAGGGCCGCCCAGTGG